TCCTCCAAGCGGCCCTTCCCGGACCAGGTGGATGGCAGCCCGCTCCTGGCCCCTGGCAAGCGGTCCCACCTGGAGTCCAGCAGCCGCCCCCACTGAGGAGGCTGGACCACCCCCACCCCCCGACCGGAGGGAGGCTCCCTCTGCGCCCGACCGGACTGCCGACAGGTTTGGGGGTTCCCTTCCGAGGTCTCTCAAAGGGGACGGGGCGGCTTCCCCAAGACTGGAAGAAGAAAGAAGTCTTCCCCACGAAGGCACTTCCATCCATTTTTTAAAAAAAACTGCCTCCTGCTCAAGGTCTTCCCTGCGCCCCACCTCGAGGGACGGCACCCTTAAGTGATACACACCCCCTGTCCCTTCACCCCCCCCTTCCAGTTCACTTTTACCACCACTGGTGAGTGGGGCTGGGTGTGAAGTCTTACACTGCCCCTTTGAAGGAAGACACTTAAGGGCTGCTTTTTATTTAAAAAGAAAGGACACTAACATTTATCAAGGTGACTTTGTAACGGCCAACGTGACATTAAAGTAAGATTTGCACGTATTAGTTTGAGAGCGGAGAGGTTTCTAGAGAGCAAGGGGTGCGCTCTCAACCTCCCCAAAACATCCCCTTTGTGTGTGTGTGTGTTTTGTGACGTCCAGTCGGAACCAACTTACAGCAACCCCTAGTAAGGCTTCCAAGGTAAGTGAGATATTTAAAGAGTGGTTCCACTTCCCCAGGGAGTTTTCCCATGGTCAATATCCGAACTCGGTGCTTCAGAGTCCCAGCCCACCACCCTACACAGGGAATCCTCAAAACATCTGTACCCCCTTCTATTTTTGTCTCAACCCCCACCCCCCAAAAACTTTGTTTTGGGAGCATCTGGCTAAGGTGGCAACAATTAAAAATGTTTGCCTAGCTCCAACATGTTTGAGGTGGGACCTTGTAGCCGGAGGTTCCCAAGGACGGCGGGGCCTGCCCTTGGCTCTTGGCCCGAGAGGCCTTAAGCTGTTCACCAACAGCGACCTTGGGACGGGTGGTGGTGGTTCTTTACGCTTTCTTCCTCCCTTTGACATTCACAACATGGATATAAGTATTTTATTAAAATATGTGTTGATATAAGCAAGAAATCCGACGGAGAGACAAGGTCTCGGGATGTGGAAAGATGTTAATAATCTTTATTCCGATTTTAAAATGTCCAGTGTGTTTCGGCCCAGGAGTAATGTTTGGGGGGGAAAAAAAACAGAAATAAATGACTTATGAGCGCCAGGCTCAGGAACAACGGTAACCCTCTATAACTAATGCTCGTTTTTAAATTCATATAGACAACGCTGTATCACATTCAGTGTTTTTATATAAATTCTTCATAACATGATATTTCCGCTCCTAATAGTCATAGTCTGCCAATAGGAATTGATAACAATGTACACGACACATACTAAGGTTTTAGACTCTCAGGTTCGTTCCCTCATGGCCGGGTTAGAAGCCGTGTTTCAGGTGGAGTGAATTTATATGAATTTAAAAATGAATGTCAGTTATAGACAGCTAGGGTTGCCCGGAGCCTGGTGTTTATAAGTGATTTCTGTTTTCCATACAGCTCCCAAAGGCGGCCTGGGGCCGAAACACATGGAGCATTTTAAAATCACATCTTTCTACATCCAGAGACCTAAGTCTGACTCATTTGGATTCCTGTTAGGATTGGATATACCAGTTCCTTTAGTTTCTGCCTTCTATAAACAAGAGCAGGTTTTTCGCTAATGCAGAGAGAGAGAGAGGAAAAAAAAGAGGACCCACCTTCGCTTCCTGCGGCTGGATGGAGTTTCTGGGAGGCCAGTTAGGCAGGCGGGCTAAAAACGGTCGGCTCCTTCCCCTCGGTGCAAACATCCTTTCTCCTCCACCCCATCCAAGCGCCGTGTTACGGCCTGTGTGATGTGTTGTGGGGATGCCTGACGGGAAGTGTGGCCCCGTGTGGCTCAAAACGGGGTTCTCCCCCCTCACATGGGAAAAACCAAGCCCAACTCTGTGGGTTCGGCTTTGTGAGTCAATAAAAGACATCTGAAATAACATGGTTTCTCTTGCGTGCTTTTTTTTTTAAAGTAGGCAATATAAGAAACACAGTTCGGTGCAAGGGCTATGAAGGTCTCCAGGCCTTGACCCAGAGGAACGGGTTCACAGAATGTGTCAAAGAGGTGGTACCTTGTACACTAAACAGTAAAACAAAATCTAAAGACTCCAGTATTGTTGCCCCTTAACAACATAGATTTTTTGAGCGGATGATGGTCCTTTCTTCAGATGCCTAGATTCCTCTCCATCTTCCCCTCCCGCCCGATGTCTATTTGTCTGTAAACCAGTGGCTAAAATATATTTGACTCCAGCTTTGAGGCAATGGATGGTAATCCACAAAAAAAAATATCTCCCTGCAAGTCTTTAAGGTGTAACCATAGTTCTGTTACACAGTCCACTTCACTGCGCAAGGGGCGGGCGTCTTCATTATGCCCTAGAGCAAGTGGGTGCTCTGTGGGCACAATTTCTGCGGGCACTGTCACAAGCCGGAGGTGGTGCAAGGTGAGAAGGACCTGCACTCTCCCCGCTCTCAGGAGGATATTGGGCAGGGGGCTGTCGCTTTAAAAAGACACATCTCTTTGACAATTACCTGCACGGGCCGGGCACTTCGGACCCCTCTCGGGGAGGGGGGGCTATTTCAGCCAGGGGGTTCAGGGCCAGGCTTGAAGGAGGAGGCCTCCTTTGCAACCCCCCTGTACCCCCCCAAAGTCCTAACTGACTATTAAGGGAATGTTAAGATACTACAGCTTCACTACAGCTAGCCAGTCTGACATCTAGCAAAGCTGTGAAACCTTGGAACTGGACGCAGCTAGAATACTTTCTACAAAAGTTTACAATTTTTTTTTTTGTTGGTACTTTTAAAAATCTCCCCATTCGTGTGTTCCCCGACAGATGTGCTCCAGAAGTAAACATAAATATTTTAAAATGGTATTTTAAGTCGGAAGTGAGCAGAAACCTCAAGTCCACCCTAGCAGCAGACTCTTTTTGTATTCTTTCCAAGCTTGGAGAATACCTGCAGGAATCCAGCCCGGTTCGATAGGAGGCGGGCTAAACTTCCACCGTGGGTCCAACCCCACCCGTTTCTTAGCTTCCTGTGTTGTGCGGCGGCATCCCCTCCCTTGCCCCCCTCCCTGTGCTGGCATCGTCCCTTTTCAACACGGCTCATGCTCCTGCCCACCTGTCGGACGGACGGACGGCTTCTGCCCTCGCGCCTAGCGTTTCTTGATCAGGATGTCCCAGCTGTCCTTCCAGCGCAGACTCTGGAGCTCGCCTTTGGAGAGTGGGGGCTCGCCGTAGGTGAGGGGCCGGAACGTGTGGTAGGTCAGGTAAACGGAAGAGAACCAGGCCACCACAAAGGCGCTGTGCATGCTCTTGGAGAGCTTGGATCTAAAGAGAGGAGGGAAGACAGGCAGGCGCTGAAAGCAAACCCATGACGAGGCATCTAGCAGGACCGAAAGGGAGGAAGGAAGCCGTCCGGCTCGGAGTCGGTCTGTTAGCTTGGCCCTGTTCACAGCAGGCACCCGCAGCTGCCCAGTAGATCTCCGTCCCATTTGGAGATTGAAACCCGGGCGCTTCGGAGCGTTATCAGTGTGAACTATTCCCTACGGCCAGCAAAACCGCATTCCTTCGGGACCAGCCCACCTCCTCCCCAGAGGGACGAAACTTCCCAGCACAAAAGACCCACCTGCAGAGATAGTCACTCATGTGCTGCAGGATGATGGGGATCAGGAGGATTTGGAAAGAGAGGGCGGGCAGGTAATGGTAGAGGAACAAGGTCTTCTCCATCAGGAAGAAAGGCAGGTAATTCACGGCCCAGCCGCCCACACACAGGCCCCCGGCCAACACCCACTGCCGCCAGGCCTCTGTGGAAACGGGAAAGAGGGAGAAGGGGCGCTGGAGGATTTTGCCCGTGAGGAAAATGCTAGAAGTGAAAGCTGCGAAGGGCCATGTAGACACGCTGAAAGGCCTAACACTTAAATCTCTTTTTTGGGCCAAAAAAAAAAAAAAAGGCAAGAGACGTAGGTCTTGCAAAACTCCGGAACTGTGTGATTTACCTTTTAAGCAGGCAAGAAAGTGCTGGAGGATTTTGCCCGTGGCAGAAATGTGAGGAAAATGCTAGAAGTGAAAGCTGCAAAGGGCCATGTAGACACGCTGAAAGGCTACGGCGGGGCTGGGAACCTGAATGGCAGATCCCCATCATCCGGAGGCACCCTGTGGCTGGCTAGAGCTGGCAGGAGGTGAAACACCCTCGGGGAGGCAGGTGAAACCTGCAATTCTCAACCAGTGGGACAAAACGTCCTCCCCAGGAGGATCTCAGGCGAGACATGGCGGAGGCTGGAAATGGGAACAGAAGCGGCGACGCCCGACGGCAGGGCTTCCCACCCTGGCGTCCCCGGAGGGTCTTGGGACTTCAGCTCCCGGAGGTCCTGGCCAGCCCAGCGAGTGGCGGGGGTTGCTGGGGGGTTTCCTCCCAAGAACGGCCTCACACTTAAATCTCTTTTTTTGGGCCAAAAAAAAAAAGGCAAGAGCCGTAGGTCTTGCAAAACTCCGGAACTGTGATTTACCTTTTAAGCAGGCAAGAAAGCTCACCTGCCACTTTTACTGCCTGTAAAAATAACCATCTTTTAAAAACCTGAGAGTGGACTTGCAGGCACTTGTTTCATTTATGCATTTATTTATGTGTGGCCTACAGGTTGTCCAGGGGCAGACCCTAAAGATTCCTGCCTTGAGCAGGGGGTTCAAGCCTGCCTTCCAACTCTATGCTTCCGAGTTGCCCACTCCTGCTGTAAGCCATGAAAATAACAAGTGGGCAAGCTTGGGGGGACAAGGACACGGCGGGAAGGGAGGGAGACGCAAAACCCCAAAGATCAGACCTGGAGGGATGTCGTGGAGGTGCCGCCGCCGCCGCACGAGGTACCACAGGAAAAGGGCCACGTACACCGCCGTTGCCACGTTAGCTGAAGTCCATGTGACGACGTTCCCCAGAAGGTGGATCTGGGCCTATAAAAAAAAAAAAAGAAAAGAGGCTCAAAGACATGTTCTTTGTTATCGGGTATCCTGCTTTTCCTCCAATAAGCTTACGGTGGTCGTGCACGGATCTCTTCCTCTTCCCTTTCTTGACCCAGGAGGAGGAGGAGAGGAGGGAGGAGCAGGACCGTTAAAAAAAAAAAAAGAGGCTCAAAGAAATGTCCTTTGTTATCGGGTGTCCTGCTTTTCCTCCAGTAAGCTTACGGTGGTCGTGCTCGGATCTCTTCCTCTTCCCTTTCTTGACCCAGGAGGAGGAGGAGGAGGAGGAGCAGGACCTGTTCTTGTTCGCCCCAGAGTGGTCATCATGGGCTCAAGCCAAAGGGAGCCAGATTTAGGCTGAATATCGAGGGGGGGGAGGAGGTGGACTTCCTAACTGCTATAGCAGTACGACAACAGAACCCATGACCTCGGGGAGGGGGGGGTGAACAATCCCGTGCTGGAGGCCTTCGAGAGGAAAGGAAGACCACCGCCTGGCAGATCGGCTTTGACTTGTGTTCCTGCCAGGAGCAGTGGGTTGGACTGGATGGCCTTAGGGGTCCCTTCCAACCCCAGAATTCTATTTTATATTCCTTGTTAGAGTATAACTACATAAATCTATAAACATATTTACAGTCCCCAAAGGGGCTTATCATCATCACACCGTTTAGAACATCTGCCTCTGGAATGTATACTAAAAAAATTACCAAAGCACTGTTCTAAGGAGTCAATTATCTGTGCCAACCACAAACGACCTCCCCAGGTGACCAGAAATCAAGGGGCTTTTGCCCGTCTCTTCCCTTTTAAGGTGTGCCAGATTAACTTTTTCACTGCATTGACCCAGGCTGGCCATCAAACATGCAGCCCTCCTCGGTCCCAGAATTCTATTTTATATTCCTTGTTAGAGTATAACTACATAAATCTATAAACATATTTACAGTCCCCAAAGGGGCTTATCATCATCACACCGTTTAGAACATCTGCCTCTGGAATGTATACTAAAAAAATTACCAAAGCACTGTTCTAAGGAGTCAATTATCTGTGCCAACCACAAACGACCTCCCCAGGTGACCAGATCAAGGAGGTTTTGCCACTCTCTTCCGTTTTAAGGTGTGCCGGATTAACTTTTTCACTGCACTGGCCATCAAACATGCAGCCCTCCTCGGTCCCTGCACTCCACAAGAGGAGCAAACCTCAGGAAAATACCTTTCTGTTTGCCCAGACCTTTTGAATGAGGCTGTTATTTAAATCCTGTTTAGCTTTATAGTTCTTTATACCTTTGCTTTGTTTTACGTGCTCTGGCTCTGTGGGTTTTATGGACTCTCTATTTTAATTTATTGCTTTGATTCTGTTCTTAGTTTTAATTTGCTACTGTTACTTAGTTTTATAGTTCTTCATACCTTTGCTTTGTGGGTTTTATGTACTCATTGACCCTCTATTTTAATTTATTGCTTTGATTTTGTTCTTAGTTTTAATTTGCTACTGTTACTACAGTCAGACTATTTTTGTTCCGAGTTATAATTTTTCTAAAGTTTGCTGCAAGGTTTTATTTAGGATCTGGGATCTGAATGGAAATTAAAATAGGCAGCAAAAAATAACAGCAGTTTCCCCTTTAAGGAACTAAGTCCCATCTTTCCACACCTGTAATAATTTCTAAACATTGTTACTCCTACCAGTCCAAGCAGTTAACCCTGATCAAGAACTGCTATTCAGATTGTTCTCAAAATGCCAGATTTATCATCCCCAATATGTCTTTCAGAATTCCATTTTTTCCCCCAAGGGGGATTTAAAACAAACAAACAAAAAAACCCACAAGAAAAAAAAAATATTAATTCAGATACTTCATATACATACAGGTATCTTGTGTGAAAGATTTACAATAAGCCGTTTACTTACACCTCAAAAATTGCAAACATATGCTAGCAGCTCCTCAAATTAGTACCAAGGCTACATATTCACGTTTCTGCCTGCCATCATTCCTTTTAAAAAAATTCACCCCCTTATTCTGAGCCATCAATTTACAAACCTACAATGGCTTCCCATTCAAGATAAAAAACAGCTAAAAAAAAACACTCCCCTGGTAAGTGAAAACAGACTGTTTTCTGGCTTTAAATGCACATTTCTCTATAGAAAAAACACTGAGTTTGCTTACTTCTGGCCTTGCAAATATTCAGCAGTGCTGTTCCCAGGAAAACAAAAAAGGGAAAACCTTCTCTGCTCCTGAATGGTGGCAGGTGTGGAAAGACAGCCCCCCCACCCGTTCTTAAAGGGGAAACGGTGGTTATTTTTGCTGCTTGATTTAATTTCCATTCCTGCCCCTGATCCTGAACAAAAACCTTCTAGCCAGGGCCTGTGTTCAAGGTCCCCCTTTAGCCCTTTATTTATTTATTTATTTATTGGACTTATATACCGCCCCATAGCGCTACAAGCACTCTCCGGGCGGCAAAAACCTCCTAGCCGGGGCCCGGGTTCAAGGTCCCCCTTTTGGGATGATCTGGCTTTCCAACGCCCAAAAGGCTGATGGGAGTGGCCCGTCTTCTCTGCTTTCGAGAGAGACACTTCTTTTATGGAATGCGGGTCGTGGAAAAACCAGGCCTTCGGAAAAGGACCAGAAAAAGCTTCTGTTCCCTTACGCTGGCCAAGGACTCGCTCAGGTCCTTCTTGGGCGGACTTTGGTCTGCAGGGAACCGTTTGGTGTCAATGGAAGATGTTGTAGTCCCAGACCCCCCACTCCGATTTGCTTTCGCATGTTGGAAAATGCAAAACGCCAAAGATCTGGAGGGCACCGGCTGGAAGGAGGGCAGGGGGCTTTTTTTCTCTTAACTGACCCTGGGAGGGAGACGGACAGAGTGCAAAGGGAGACGCTACCCCTGAGCTGGCGTGGAACCAATAGGCGATGTTCGTATCCAGGGTGATCCAGTCTAAGGGGGAAGAGCTGTACTTGTGTTCGGTGTCTTCGTTTTTCAGAGTGAGGATCTTCCACTGGAACAGAAGAGTGGTAAGCATGGGTCAGAGCAGGGCTCCCCTCCGCCTTCTCCTGATGGCCCTGCGAGGCGGGCCAGGCTGAGAGGGTCACCCACTGAATTTCATTGGCTGAGGGGGGGACTCGAACCCTGCGCTCTCTCAGGGAGCAGAACACTTTATTTCCCCAAGGGGCTTCGGCGGCACCATCCCGCCTCCCCCTCAACACACAAACCCCTCCCCAGCCCGTTCTTTCACCTGGAGCTCCGTGAACTTGGCCAGGAAGCTGAGGTTCTGGCTGATGCTGATCTGCGTGGGGGAGTGCAGCTCCACCTCCCTCTCCTTCTGCTCTTGGCCTGCGAAGGATTGAGACGCTCAGGCGGACGGGAAGGGAGGGACCGTCTCTCCATAAACGAGCGCAGAGAGAAACGGGGGGGGGGTCCAGACTTCGAAGACTGCAATCCTCCCCAGTCTTCTCACTTTCAGGCTGGCAAGCTGACGCTGATACAAGCCAGCTGGCATCTCGGTTCAATCCTGCCTGTGAAAGGGGGGGGGTCTTCATTTCTTTTTTGGGGGGGAGGTAGGTTGGATTAAGGGTGACAGCCATGGTTTGAAACTTACTTTTCCCGTATCTGTGCTCCTCTACGTTCCACAGCATGCTCTGATGGTAGCCTTTGGAAATTTTTTCTCCCACGACCTCCAGCTGTCGGTAGCCCCACTCGGGCAAAGAGAGGCCACTGAGCTGGGGGACGACAAGAGGAGATGGCGGTCGGCTTTCAGCATTCACACACACACACACACACACACATGGTATGTCAGTCTTCTTTCTTCTCTGCATGATAAATTACAGGAAACGTACCTTAAGCACAGCTGAGGTGTTCACGTTTCTCCCACGACCTCCAGCTGTCGGTAGCCCCACTCGGGCAAAGAGAGGCCACTGAGCTGGGGGACGACAAGAGGAGATGGCGGTCGGCTTTCAGCATTCACACACACACACACACACACACATGGTATGTCAGTCTTCTTTCTTCTCTGCATGATAAATTACAGGAAACGTACCTTAAGCACAGCTGAGGTGTTCACGTGGACAAACCTTCAGTCTTCTTTCTTTCTTTCTTTCTTTTCTGCACGATTAATTACAGGAAACATACCTTAAGCACAGCTGAGGTGTTCACGTGGACAAACCTCACTTCGGAGAGGATGGTCTTCCACACATCGCCGTCTGTTTCCCGGTTCACAATTTCCTACAACAGGAAATGACCGCTGGGAGCTTTTTCTTCCTGTTACGGAGGCGTCTGTGGCTGTCTTTACCTTTCCCAAGGGTTATCCTGCCCCCCCCCCGGCAACTGGGTCGGAGAAGGATAGCGATCTCCTTTCAGCTGGCCAATACGCTCCTCTCTGAGAAGGGACGCCTTAATGCGATGTTGATGCACTCTACGTGATCCACAATATTCCAGCAGCACCTGAAACACCTTCTGATTGATCCTGGATATAACTAGTTAAGAGCACTATACGGTAGGAACTTCTGATCCACAAGATCAGGATGCACTTATTCACTTATCCACAGTCTAGAAATATTAAAAATACTAAAGCAAACATCCCATAAATACTGTATATATTTCTAACACTAAAACAAACCTCCCATAAATACTGTATATATTTCTAACAACAAGGTTATTAGAACTGGCTACTAGAGGGAGCTAGAGATCATGCTACTACATATAGCAGCAGTAATATATTTCCATGATGCCACTACCAGTACTAGCCACTAGAGGGAGGCAGAGACCATACTACCAGTATGTATAGCGTTTGCTATTACCTGCGTTTTCCAGTATCCACGGTGGAGGAGCCTGGAATTTATCTCCAATGGAGGTGGGAGGGGGGCTATTATACCCTTGTTCTCACCAGGCAAATGTATGTGTTTCTCTATAAATACAAGGAAGCCTTTTTTGGGGGGGGGGGAATGCAACTATCCTGCAGTCATTTGCTAGCAATATTCTGCCCTTTCAAGATCCCGTCAGAAGCCGTTTTCCACTCACCACTCTCCAGAGGTTCTGAGCTGGCATGGAGATGTTGTAATCGATGTAACAGGAAACCTCCTGGGAGTGGGGGCTCAGGGGCGCTGCCACGTCGTGCCTGGGAAGACAGAAACCGGGGGGGGGAGGAAATGGAGGTCAACAGTCAAGCACGCCCCTCCACCACCCGCTCAGCACACTGGGTAAGATGGCTTGCAGCCGAGTTTGTTTACTGAGATTGGGTTTGTTTGAGATTTTTTTAGTCCCTTGCCAGTAGTCGGGCGGGATAAAAATATTATGAATAAAATGAAATAAATGCACTGAGCCACTTTGGAAAGAAAGACCATGTGGGAGCATGTCTCCAACAGCTGCCCATCGGTAGCAATTGGTCCGAGTCAGATTTTACTGACGCGGGAGACGGAGATCTGATCCGTAGATCCTCAACCGGGCTGTAAAATCATTCCAGGAGGAGAGCAAGCAGAGGGCTCACGTGTTAAGGTAGCGCGTCGTGATCCCGTGGACCAACTGGACGATGCTGCCGTGCCGCACGGGGCGTGGGGGGTTGCTGACCACCAGCTGCTGCCTGAGAGAGAAAATGCACAGAGGGAGACTTGAATGCCAGGAAACCCAGACCTGGCCACAAAAGAGAGCCAAGCGGTGAAGCAGAAAAAGGGCAAAGCAAGAGCAGAGAAGAGTCAGGGGAGAAATCTCTCAGGACAGGCCTGGGAGGAAAAATTCCTAAAGCCTCCGCCGGCTATAAAAGCAAGCTAGAAGAAGGGATAGTGCTGAAAACTGATTTACAACCACCACCGCCACCCCATGTTTGTGGCTGTCCAGGAGTATTGGCACATTCAGAATTCATCCATTTCAGCTACCTCGCTGAAACATCCTTGACGTACGTCTCTTAATATTGTTTCCACTGGTCAAGTTTTACGGCTGGCTTTTAACAGGCTAATCACGGCGATCACCTTGAGCAAGTCTGTTTCTGCAGTCAAAGTGCGATTTCCTGTTGGCTTTTTAGCCAAGAGGGAAAACCATTCTGAGACCTTGCCATAGATATTTTAATATGCTGTGCACAGATATTATAAACAAGCAAACAAATATAAATTCAATGGGAAACAGGCTCTAAACCCACACAGTTTGCCAGTGGGCCAACAATCTGAGGTGCAACTTCACCGCAGATCCCTGCATTCCAGCGACACCTGGAATCTGATATGAGAATCTGTCTCTTTTTTAATTATTATTAATGCGAGTTACTTTGAAGGACAGTTATTATCTAGAAAGTGGGATGAAAATAGATTCAAATAAGAAAGTTTTTGTGTCCACCATCCTTTATTTAAAAAAAAAACAGGCCTCGAGGAAGCTGGCGTAGATAAAAGCTGACCTGCTTGGCTAGATGAACAGCCTGAGGTTGCTGACATGGGCCAAAATCTCACGGCTCAATTTACCCCCATGTGCTGAGCGAACACGTGTTTGGAAAGCTTCTGTACTCACGTCCCCGGGTCCTTCACAATCCACCAGTTATTCACATCCTTGAAAGGATAGCAGGTCACCTGCTGCTGATGGGAGCTTCCACGGCCATTTAAGTACCTGCCAAGAGGGAAGACGGAGGGAGAGTAACACCAGGTAAAAGACACACTTTTACAAGGACAGTCCAGCATCGGGCAACACTCCCCGGGGGAGGCCTGGCTCTGTCACGGCACCAGCCACTAACACAGACAAAGAGTGTTTGGTCCACCCAATGGCCATGAGGCATCCTTGCTGGGTTTCGTGAAGCAGGCCCTCCTGAATCTCTTTTTTGTTTTCTGCCCATGACAGGCCACCCTCGCCCGCCACCGATCTGCCCTCCCCTCACCTGATGGGATACGTGTTCTTGTGCGAATGCAACCAGCAGGGCACGGGCTTGCCTAAGACGTTCCGCAGGGTGATCTGGGAGCCGTAGGCCACCTCCAGGGGCTGGCCTTGAGTGATCCGAGCCAGACCGCCCTAGAAAGAACCACCAAACTTTAAATCCACAGGTGGGGGAGAGAAGGGAAGGGCTGTTTTAGGCTCAGCCCCCGCCCCCAATTGTGGAGGAGACCCAAAACAGCTTCAAAGATGGCCAAGGGGGTAACCGTATGTCTAAGCCACCTTGCTTCCTTTCTCATTTGCTTAATACAAGTGAGATTATACACTAAACCAAACAGGAGGCAGCACTAGCTTTTAGAAATATATTAAGTGATTGCAATAAACAAGCCACTTCTATAATAAGTTTCCACTTGTCAAATAACGCTCGCCGCCCTCCTTTCCTCACCTCTAAGCTTGCTTGGAAAGCGCTGCTCATGATCTGGTCATGCGGCCCAGAGCGATAGAGCAAAGCCAAATGGATGTAGAAGAAAGAGAGGTATATGGCTACTGGGATGACCACAAGGGCTAGCATTCTGGCTAGCAAATGGCACAGCAGAGAAACCTAAGAAGAAGAAGAAGAAAAAGAGATGGAAGAATATTACTCACGACTCGAGAACCAAGGCCTACTTTTTTTTAATGCTGAAACAGAATGTCTTCTCTATCACAGGACCGGAAACCCTTTTAGGATTCAATCAATTTTCCCACACACACACCCCATTGTGCTGGTGGAACAGACCTGCAATGCTCTGGAAGGTATCTCATCAGCCTGAAAAACGCCTCCTAAACCTGACAGCATGCCATGCATAGGACCAGAAGGCTGGCTACTCACGTTGGACAAGGTCTGGTCCCCAATCAGCTGCCAGGAGTGGACTCCTGCGATGACCAAAAGCAGGCTGTACGTGAAGAGGCCTGTATATTTCACCCTGGAAATAAATAAAGTTTCTTAACGCCTCCTGGTAGCTGCGCCAGACACCATTAAGATAGTCAAGCAATCAGTGTAACTTACCCGACTGCACAGGAGCAGCAAAATCCTGTGAGGATGAGCCAGAACCACCATCTTGTGGAAAACGGACTGGAGGAAGACAATGAAACCATGTGCATCCACATATAAATAAACTATGGGTAAACCACTGGACTTACTGTTCATGATTTTTATTTTCCTGAAGAAGCCCTTGACTAAAGACAAACATTTGTGGTTGTTTCTCAGTTTCGGGAACGGAAGCCAGATTTAGGCTGAATATCAGGAGAAAACTCCTAACTGTTAGAGCAGTACCATGACCTCAGGGGGAGGTGGCGAGCGATTCCAAGGCTGGAGGCCTTCAAGAGAAAGTTGGACCACCCTCTGCCCGATCTGCTTGGATCTGAATTCCTGCCTTGAGCAGGGGGTTGGACCGGGTGGCTTTAGAGGACCCTTCCGACTCCATGATTCTAGGGTTCTCTGACTCTAAGACAATATCATCTAGCTTTCACCCTGCTTATGCAGCAACAAAACATTATAGATACATGCAAACAACAACTTCAGTTCCACAACGGCTGATCCTATTTTAGTCAAAAGAGCACAATCCACAGACAAAGAGGCAGTGTCAGTCACCTCAGGGAAGTTCACTCTTTTGTAGAGATACAACATATACACATCCAAAAATTAAAGAGTTTAGGAAGCAACCCTCAATGGGAAGGATCTCAACAGGGATCAGAAAATCTGTCTAGCAATGGGCTGGAATGTCCAAAACACCCCTTGCTTTGTTGCAGATCTCACTTGTAACCACCAAACTGCTCCTGAAGGGGGTGTGCTTTTAGAATATTTTTTTTTTAAAAAAAGAATATAAACTCAGCTTCTATGGGAAAGCTTAGTCAAGAAGCAGGATCTTTCCAGAATGGCAAAACAGGCCATATAACATTTGTTCATTTTACAGTGAGCTAAACCCTCTAAAGGGAAATCCACAGCTCCTAATCCAACAAGTTTGCAAAGTGTTTTTACCTTTGTTTCTGTGAATTGTAGAACATCAGATAGGATAAGATGGCCAAGAGTATGAAAAAGATTAAGAGGGACTCCATCAGCATTAGTCGAGACTGAGTGATCAGGGAATTCTCTGTTAGAAAACAAGGGGTGGAAATTTTCGGTTATTTTGAATCTCCGTGATCAATTTCCACTTCAAAACAAGTTCTTCCGGGTACCCGAGCTACAAGTGCAATCCTCTACGTGTACCAAGTCACTTTGGTTCAAGGATGTTTACAAACAAGACTGCTATATTTGTTATATTACATTCAATAAAATAGCATTTTTTTTAATGTTTAACTTACTATGTTTTTAATTCTATTTTTAATAGTGTGAACTGCCTTGGATTCCCTTATCAGGAGAAAGGCGGCCTATAAATTAACAAACAAATAACAAATAAATGTTTAAGGAGCACAGTGTCATTATTGGCAAACAGGGCAGCCATAAAATCAAAACCCAAGGCAACCCCCTTGCAGCTGGCTGAACACAATTTGGCACCAGTGACAAGTACAGAACTCACCGAAACGGCAAAGAATTAATTAAAGGCAGAGGGTCACTGGCAGAAGAGAACGATTCCTTACCAAACAGAAACAGCAGAGCGGCGCCAAGAGCCACAACGTGAGAGAAATGCAGCTCCACAAGGATTTGGTAAGCCAGGGGAATACACAGGGCTCCGGCGAGTGCGGGCAACAACCGTAGGGCCCAAACGGGCACATTAGAACTATATTCTGAAATAGTGCGAAATACAAGTGTTAGAAAGTAAGGTGAGGCATGATTAATTGGCATAATTAATACTATCAGCTCAAGACAAATCTCTTGTTTTCCAGCCTTAATGAAGAGAGAGACTGTTTTCCTTTCATCTATGGGACCTTTTATACAAGAGGAAGCATCTGAGTGGACTTGTCACAAAAGCTCACGTTAAAATGTAGCAGTGAGTCTTGGAGGTGCTGCAACGTTTTTGCAGTCTTCATTTTTTATATTTTCTTTTGTTGTTGCCTGATCTATTAAAAAATTAAACCAGCTAAGTCCAACATGGCCAGCGCTGTCATGTGCTCAAGTTACAAAGTCAGATTTAGGCTTGATATGAAGAAAAACTTCTTAACGGTTAGAGCAGTACGACAATGGAAAAGAGTTATCTCTGTGGTGCTTTCATGCCAGAGACCTTCAAGAGAGAATTAGATAACCACCCATCCGATAGGCTTTGATTGGAATTCCTGCCTTGAGGAGGGGGTTGGACTCGATGGGCCCCTTATAGGCCCCTTCCAATTCTATTTATCCTATGATTCTATGCTGCCTTGCAGAATGCATCAGAACTTATCAGAAGGATCTCTTACCTGCTCCAATCCTGTTCCACAAGAAATTGCCATCAAATCCACCTAAGTAACCTAAAAATACAGAGAGAGGGAGAGAGTCTGCTTTCACGCTGCATCAGCCACGTTTATTACCTGCAGAAATTAAGCTTTATCTTTCCACTGACATCTCTTTATGGCTCCTGGGTAATAAGTTTTCATAAGGCAGAAGCATTTCTCAGCTCTTGCTGTTTTACCTGTGCCAACTTTCACAACAGGCTTTTTACCACAAACTTAACATTCAGGGAAAATCATCCTTACCTCCAAATGCCAGAAGCAGGTGGCCGAACGGAGGTCCACTGTCATCCACAAAGAAAATCCGCTTCATGTACAGAGAGAGGAATTGGCCATAGTAAACTTCATCAAAACTGAAGGAGAGCAGAAGAAAAAGAAATGTTCTCAATACACAGTCAAGGAACGGGGTGGGAAGGTGTTTGTTTGGGTTTGGTCTTGCTTGCTGCATATAAAAATAAAACACACTAAATTAAAGGATATATAAGGAAAAATCACCAGCTTAAAAAAAAACATGGACAAACCTCTTTCAATATTGGAGAGAGCACTGTTTCTAAAAACGTGCTAAATACATCAAATAGTTGGACCCACAGTGAAAGATGGGAATTGGGGGGGGGATATCTTCCCCCCAATGTTTCAAATTTCATGCATTTGACCACCTCACCAGTTCCACCTCACCGGAGTTCATCACAACTCCGACTATCACAATGAACAGGTAAATTTCACCAAAAGCACAAATCCTTTTTGGCTTTCAGACAAGCCACGGAGGAAGTGAGTACCGACGGTATAAATACGATGAGCTTGCACAAGTGAATTTTTGAAGTGTATGTATGTCAAGCCAATTTTGTGAATTTTGTTGTACGGGTATACTATGTATATACTTACAATGACAATAAATAAATTTATTTGATTCACTTACACCACAGCTCGAGGGTAGGACAGAGCCCACAGGCGACTTATTAAGCCCAGCACCCCCAAAACCACCAGGTTCACGTTGATCTCCACAGAAAAGACCACGGGGTGCTTCAGGAATCCAAGCATCTTGGCATAGCGAGTTTGTTGAGTCTAAGAGGAAGGAAAAGGGGGCATTTTATAGAGATCCATGCACTGTGGGGGGTTTTGGTTGGAGGGAACACTTCATTTTTTGTGGTGACATACACTGGCCACAAACCAGTCCTATTACTGAGACCCAAAACTGCCCAAACTGTCTTTCCTTACACACACACACACACCTCGGTCTCCTTAAAAACTTGATCCGGAGGGCAAGAGAACACGCTGGAACTATGAACTTACCCATTTTAGCTTTTAAATATTGTCTTTTAATGGCAGTAAGCCACCTTGGGTCCTTTTCCAGAGAAAGGCAGGATGAAAATATTTTAAAATCAAAATAAATACATAAATGTCTGCTGCCAGAAGTACAAAAGGAAAAAAAAAAGCGTTTAATTGTTAAGAATAATGAGCCCTCCCCTTTTTTTTACCACCAGTTTTTACCTAGCAAAAAAAAAACCCTCGTACGGCCGTAATAAAAGTGGCAGCCTTTAAAAGCAACACAGGACTCTTCGGCTGTTTTGCTTTGCTGCGAAAGGTCGAGGGTCTCTTTGGCTGCAGAACCAGAAGGGTTAGGAGTTCGATTCCTGCCACTGGGCCTTCTGCACAGGAGCTGGACCGGATGACCCCTTAGGGTCCCTTCCAGCCCCGCAGTTCTAAGATGATGATGGTCCTTAATGAATTATTGGATAGCTTAGTGGTTTAGGTCTCTGAGGGCTGAGAGTTCGAATCCTCCCTCTGAGCCAGCCCCTCCGCAGCTCCAAGATGAGGATGATGAGACCCCGTTGACGGGCTTAAGTTTCTGCCTTTGAGACACGTGAAGGCAAAAGAACCCTTTGGTTTGTTTTGGGGTTTATTTTTATTTTATTTTTTGGTCAGGGAATGAGGTAGACTGTTCCTCGAGGTGGAGGCTCCCTTTAGCAAAATCCCTTCTGTTTTCCTTCCCAGAGGCAACCATTCCTCCCTCACATCTTCCCCGCCCCCTCATGAAAACCATCATATTCTCTCTTTTTTTTCGGTCCCTGGTCCTTATTTTATTCCCGCCTTCTTTTTATTTTGAGGCAAATTCGGGTCCAAAACGCCGAAGGAAGCCCTGGAAATATAGACCGACATAAAGAGATATCGCTGTATTAATTCGTCCTTAAGCAACGATAACGTCTTCTCTTTTTCTTTTCTTTTTTAAAGGAAAGATAAAATTTCCCTCAGGGGAATTTGCCGCTCCCTCACGGACAAAGCCGCGGCCCTAACCGCTTCGCCCCCCCTTCCCCGCTAAATGAGCCCGTCCGGTCCCCAGGACGGACAAGGCGGAACTGGGCTGTACCAATGTCAAAACGGGGTCCGTCTCTCTTCCCCCCCACAGCGCGAGGTCACGTGGCTAGTCCGCGAGTAGACTCACCTCCCCTCAGGAGAACGCGGCCTCAAAGCCGCCCTACGCGGGAGGATGTGACGTCACCACGCTCCCCGGAATGGGCGGGGCTAGAGGACCATTCAGGGCCTTCGACGTTACTATGGTGACGGAGCCTGCGTTTCTTGGCCTTCCTTTTCTGAGCTGGGTCTTGTGCATGTGCAGGCTGTTTTTTTTTGGACTTCAAGTCTTAGCATTCGGCGGCCTGCGGGGGATTCTGGGAGATGTAGTCCAGGCGCCTAAAGCTGCATGCCTCAAGGGCATATTAGTCCTCAATTCTTTCTTCTAAATGTAATTCCGCCTAGAGTAATCTTAACTGATTAGATAGGCGGGATATAAATAAATAAATAAATAAATTCCGCAATCAATAGAACCAATGAAAACATATTTAGCCATCCATATCTTGATAGCTGCAAGAATTCTCTTTGCTAGACATTGGGAAGACCCGGAGAATCCATCACAAGACGAGTTAATAGCAAAAAATTCTGGACATGATGGAAATGGATAAATTATCAGAATGGTTGGAACCTTCAGGGGATCGAGAAACTTGGCCAAGAACTGGCATTATTTGGGGTTTCTCCTTTCAAGCAAGCATCATCTTGCAGATTCACTAAATTGCATTCTTGGGAAGGGTCACCTCTTTCCAGAAAGTCCTTAAGTGTTATGTTGGTGCACAACACGACAGTTGACGTTCATACTTGCAGACTGCGAAAGTTACTTTTCCAGGTTATATTTTGCAAAATAACTCAAGTCAGCAAGGCCCTCTTCGACTCTTAATTACAGCCAATTACAGTCGTTCCATCCAGTTAAAACTATTTTCACATTGGTTGTTAATTGTCCAAACTATAAATATTAACGGGAATCTGAACATTTTTTTTTTGCCCCCTTTCTCGCCTTCCATCTTCCTAGCCTTGGGTATCATGCCTTTCAGACAGTACACAAAGCAGGGCCTTATTACAGAAAGGATGCTGGGCCTTTTTTTACATCCCAGGTGAGTACAATGTAGTGCTCACCCAGGTGTTCTTGGACTACAACTCCCAGAAGCCTTCACCTCCAGCTGTGGTGGCTTGGATTTCTGGGTGTTGCAATCCATGAACACCTGGATTACCCAAGGTAATCCAGGTGTAATAGGACCAAGTATCAAGACTACAGAAGACAAGGATTCGTTGATGTTTGGCCATGGACATCGGAAGGAAGAGTGTAAATAGGTCTCGCACACCCCAAAAACCTAACGAGGGTTGCTCAAAGTCAGAAGCGACTCGATAAGCACAGAAAAACCAATTAAGTTCCCGGGTTCCTAACCTCTGTACTGCGAGAGAAAAATGGCAATGTCGTCACGCACAGCCTGCTTTTTTAGTTTTTTTTATTTAAATAAGGAGAATTCTTTCATATGGAAAGAGCTAATACAATCACATATTTGAAAGGATAAACGATAGGAACTGAAAACAAGAAAAGGGCGAGAGAGAGAGAGAGAGCGCACGCGCACGTTGCCGCCACCAGTTCGGCGCTTCTGTGAGATCAGAGAGACATCCAAGTCCATGTTAAAAAGTTCCCCGGAAAGGTTTCGAACATGTCATCGGTTAACATATTAAACTCACCGTTTGCCCTTTCAAATACCTGGTCTACATGAAAAAGACAAACATGAGGAAAGGCCAAAAAAAAAAGAAAAAAAAGAAGTTGTTTTACTGTACAAGTTTGTGAGGTTAAAAGGTGTACAATATCCTCTTTTTAAAAAGGCAATTTATACAGGACCAAAAGAGAGGGTAAGGAATTAGCTGCATAAACACAGTGCCTTGACATGCCAAGAAGTGAGGGGCCACATCACGACTGCCGTCTCCACTTCACCAATTCAATGTTTACAACTTTTTAGAAGCCACTGGACAATTTACAGCTATGTTACTAACACATGGTCGCCCCCCCCTCAAAATAAGAAAGAAAAATTAAAATCAAACCAAGCTAAGCTAGCTTCACAATTTCTCCGCAGGCAGTGGCTCCACGGCTTCTCCGTCGATGCCTCGTTTACTCTATCAAGGAAGAGTCTGTTCCTTATCGTTACTATAAGCTTTTTTCTATTTTTCGTACTTCAAAACCAAGCAAACCTTAAAAGAGATGTTCGGGAAAGGGAGCTGAATCTGTTTCGCACAAAAAACCGGAGCGGACCGGGTAGGAAAAATTAAAACTCAAGAGAGAACAGGACCGAACTCAAAACGTGACAGTGCGGCGTACACAGAGGGCTTTGCTTGAAGCCAGCGCACGCCGGGACTGCTGAACGAGGCATTTCGCAGAAATGGAGGGGGGGGGAGCGGTTCTCCAAAGTCTGGCCAAAAGGAAGGAATCAGAGCGGAGTCCAGTGCACCCCTGCCGCAGGACGAGGGCCTCCGCTTTCAACGCAGCGCCTCCGCCTGTACACACAGGACAGGGAACAGGCGTCGGAGGGTGGAGAAGGAAGGAGCCAGCGTCACTTCATCCCGTATTTTGCAAGCAACAGCGGCCACCTTTCCTCCACCCCAGACGGAGCTGCTGAACCCGGGGGCCGTTCAAAAGCTTGCCAAGCAGAAAGATTTTAACGGGGAAAGAAAAAACCCGCCCCGAGAATGCAATGGAGGTGGCTGCCCCGGCAGGAAGGGAATACTATTTACATGCGAGGAGAGCCTGCATGCCTGCAGCTGCACTCCAGGACACGAAACCCCTGGGCGGCATCCACCGTGTTAAGAGCCCCTCGCTTGGCGTACTGCTGAGATGGGTCTAATAACGGACCTTCCTTCTTTCTCCGTCAGCAAGCAAGCCTAGTGGCAAGCGATGGGTATCCCATTTCCCAATCATCTTCCTAGCAATTATATATATGCAGACTTGGATTTCAGAATAAAGCCGATGGACGCAAGAGTCTACACCACATCTGTCACGGGAAAAGCAGGCGGTGATCCGCGGAAGGTCTGCAGGGCGTCCCTTCGCCCCCCGCCAGGACGAAAACTCAATTGCTTCCTAGGCCACAGGGAATCGGAATCGAATTCGAAACTGCACAATGAAATCAGGAGAGAGGCAGTACCGAACAGCCCTCTCGGGCCGAGTGGGCACCCTCCTCTAACCGCCACCGGAGAATTCTGCGTTCTGCTGCTAAAGAAAAGAATTAGCTTTTAGCTCCTTCCTCTCCAGCCCCCCAAAACCCAATAACATTGCAGTCGGAAACTGTAAAAACCACGCATTACTATCTTTTTTTTTTTTAGAAGATGAAAGTAAAATTTAAAGGCAAAGAACAGGGACACTACGTTTTACAAGCATGGGGAGAGAAGGAAAGGCTTTCCACGTTAAAATCAAAGCCACCCTCTGAACTGCGGCCCGTAGCCATGCAAATTAAAAACCGATCAACAACAACATAAAAAGAGGGTTAAAGAAAAGTGGGTGGTTATTTCTTGGCCTTTCCTGCACAGAATAAATTCAGACATTATATATAAATAGAGCAGTGAAACATTTACTTTTTTTCACCTAAGACCTACAACATCAAATACGCATAAATAAATTCTAGTGTTTTATTTTGCTGAGTTGTGGGGTGGGAGGGACGGGACAGGGCAAAAGAGAGAATGGGTTTAAAAGAGGGATCGCCCCCCCCTGCCCCAACCTTTAACAGTAAGCACTGTATATCTGATTAAATTTACACCAGCAAGAATTTCTGTGATATTTTGCATCTAGTAATAAAACCCAACTCCCCCTAATACAAAGAGGACCATCTGAAAGACATGTACAAAAAAAGAAGGGAAAAAAATGGAGTTTGTATCTTTTAAAAACACATCAAGAGAAAGAATACAGCTAGCAAAAGCTATATAGCGATAAAAGCAGGGTGTCGATTTTGTAAAGGGGCGCCCAAGAATGGGTCAGACAACACAAAAGTTAATAAGGAGCGGCGTTCAGGGCAAATTTCCAATCATGACTTTCCAAAGTGGAGACATAAAAGCTGAAAAGGAGGCCACCCGAAGAGCCCCTGAAAAAGAAAAGTCTGTTGGGGACAGAGGTGGGACCTTTTTATGAGAAAAAGCAGAATGTTTTGACTACGTCTCAAACTCACACTGCAAGATATGACACAGCTTTGTCAGAAAAGTTTAAAAAAAAACTGAAATAATCTGTCTGCAAACGGCCATTTCTTTCTTTCTTTAAGAGCTCCGTCTACCTCCAACATCCCTTTCCAATTTTCTACGAAAGGAGGAGGGCGCCCGGGTGGCACACCCCCGGACGACTGCTTGGACCAAACACGGCTGGGCGCATGGGGGGGGGCTCAAGTCGAAAGAGCACAAATGTTCGGAGAATCAAAGCTGCTGGATGTACACAGCTCAAGGAATTTTAAAAAGCAAAGACATCTTTAAAAAAAAAAAAAGTAAATCTGTACTCTCCTCCCCAGTCAAGAATCCTGCAGGATCTTCCCTTCCGTTCGGAAATACATTCCTCGTTCAAAACGTCATCTTTGGAACCAACGGAAAAGTGACTGGCTCAACACATACACAAAGAGGAAAAGCAGCTATCACGCATAATTCACCAGCTACCATCCGTTAAGAGAAAAAGCCGTCGTCCTTCTGCAGGCAGAAGATCCTGTTTCTTCAATATTTCGAAAACGCATCTTAAGAGAATCTGGAGGCACCGGAGTCCTATCTGAGCCCTCTGGCGTCTTTTTAAACCCGAAAGCATCAGTGAGGACCTGTGGATTCGCCACAATTCAGCCTCTGGAGGACAGGATGGAATCAGCAAGACTGCAACAGCGTTAGGAAGCTCTGTCTAGAAACTAGATTAAAGAAGCCCTTACTAGAAACAATTGCATTAGACGGAAGAGAGCGACAAACAGAGAGGCAGAGCGGAATAAAGTTTTAAAAAAAGGACAGAGCAAAGGAGCACAAATAAGCCCCTGCATGCAATAATTCCTTTTCTTTTCAGTTGCTGTTTGCAATGAAGAAAGGCATCAAGTAGCCGTCTGTACAGGCAGAAAAACGAAGTAAGGAGCGAGGCGACAAGGGAGAAAAGCTCGGGGTGCAGCAAAAAACAAAAAAAACCCAAAATAGCAAAGAACAGAAGAATCATAATT